AGCTGTTTCCTTCTAGTGGACCATGGAGCTCAAAAGCTTTAAAACCAAACTTCAACCTTTCTTTAAGTCAGTCTCTGGTGGGAACTTTACCCTGCGCTAATTTTCCCTATTCAGGGAGTTCCAAAGTTGCCAAACACTTAGGTAAACACCGGATTTCAAAAGTCACCTGGGCCCTAGCTGGTTTGGCTCAGCGGATAGAGCATCAGTCCTTGGTGCTGGGGTTCAATTCCGGTCAAGGACACACACCTTGATTGCAGGCTCGATCCCCGGCCCCACGTGCAGGAGAGGCAGCCAATCGATTTGAGAGACACATAGATGTTTCTCTCTCTGTGTCTCCTCCTCCCTTCCACTCTCTCTAAAAATATCCTCTGGTGAGAATTAACAAAACAAAACAAAAAGTCACCTGGGCAATTCATGTCTGCCTTTGTTTAGTGCATAATATGCTCAAGTATGATGCCTCCCAATGTCCATTGCTGTCCATGTGCTCCAGGGTCCCAGAGAGACTGCCCTTCTCCAACTTCAAATTCAGAAAGAAAATGGATGCCATTTTCCCCTATCCCTTTCTGGCAATTTTCCTCAAAAATGTATTCATACACCTCATGGTTAATGGCTGCCCCGTTGTGCTGTAAACCCAAACTGACCCATCCACACTGAGGGAAGAAGCAGGCAGTGTGCACACCCCCGTTTTGTGATTATGTTCAGATGCCACAGTGTTCGGAAAACCTCAAGTCAGCACAAACACGAAAAACAGTATTTAATGAATATGCTTAAGGAAGAGGACGTTTACAAGTAAATGAATGAAATCAAAGTACCCATTTATAAATGCCCCTTCCGTGTGGGGACTTTACAGTCCTTAACAATTTGTTAATAGAGAGAAAACTAAAAATTTTAGAAGGAAACACTCGAGTTCCAGACACGGAGACTTACCTGACTCCTCTCTTTGTCCACCTTCTTAAAACACTTATTCAACGACAAATTGTGTCTCACGGAGTTTTTCCACCCAGTGGGTGCATTTGCAAAATACGGGAAATGTTCCAAGATCCAGTTGTAGATATCCTTTACTGGCAGGCGCTTGGTCGGAGAGTCCTCGATGGCCATAAATATGAGGCAGCTAAAGGAGTAGGGGGGCTTGCAGTTGGGGTTCTGCCTGGCATCGTAGGGCATGTCAGAGTGGGCGGGCGACGGGGGCGTGTCATCGTCCAGGTCCTGGACGGGGCTGACGCTCCGGAGCACCGACTCCCCGAAGCTCTTCAGCAAGTTCTTGCTCTCGTGCAGCCAGTTCAGGTTGGTCAGCTCCTCATCTTCCATGGCCCCCTCTTCTAATCGGATGTCGGGCAGAGAAAAGTCGAGGTCATCGTCTTCCTGAAGGGCCTTGGAGAAGCCGCTGCCCCGGTAACACTGACTCAGCCCACGGGAGACGCTAATTCCTGAGCTTTCTGGCTTCTTACTGGGAGGCATGACTGGACCCATTTAGGTGAAGGCTCCTGGGAAACACATTCCACAGAGAAGAAGAGTCAGTGAAACCCATACCGGAAAGGCAGCTGAGTCCTCCTAGTGCTTTGGTCCCCACCCCCACCGCTGCCCCCTCTATGAACCCCCTTCCACACAGGAACACACCTCATGGCTCTTACCCCAAGGAATGCAAACCCACAATTCTACCACACAGAGATGCACAGGAAGTAAAATCGGTCTATCGTGCATACTGCGCAGTGACTGTCACCCCTCAACACATCAACACTGGAAATATCTCCAGCACCTTTAATGTGCAAACGCACCATAACAAGAATGGGAAAGTCCACAATGCCTTCTCCCTGGATCTATGAACACTCTCACTAGGACCCTGGGAAAATCAGTTATTTCTTGCTGCCTCAGTTCATCTATTACACATGAACACATATACACAAGTAAAAATATTTCAAGCCTCGTGATTAAACTCTACCTAATAAGCTCAATGCACAACCCCTCTCTGCGGCTTGGGGTTATAGGGCTCACTGTTAACCATTCTCAAAAAAAGAAAATGCCTCTAAGTTTAAGGCCAGTGTTTTCAGAGTTTCCATACAAGGACCATCCATCACAACGACCCCCGAATTAAAACTGTGGCCACAGTATGCATCAGTTTAATAAGTTTTATTTGATTTCCCCCCTCCCCTCCACAAGTCATGATCAAACACTTAATTACATTTAACTTTAATTACATTTGAATTCTGGATTCGAACTAGAGCAATAAATGCATTTAATTTAATTGGGACACTACATTCTGAATGAAAAAGTAAGGAGTGCAGGCACCACACACACAAATGGGAATATGAAAGACAAGCCATTAACTGAAATTAGGGTTGGTGAAAAAAAGTAGGAGAGCAAAAGGGCAGCTTCAAGAAAGAAAGGCAAATTCAACAAAAATTGCTACAGAATTCTCTTCTGCTGCCGCCCCCATTTTTGTCAATGACCCAGAACGGGGAGTAAAATATCTGATGAGAAAAGAAACTGAAGAGGTGGCGAGTCCACAAATAGAATGACCCCGGCAGATACAAAGCTGTCCGACCCCCGGCACTCAATGTAAGATATAAAGAACAGCGAAGATAATGAAGAGAGGTCTCCCACTCTCCGTCTGGAGCGCTCAAACAATGTGTCTGTTCTATGTTTTCCCCCCCACAAGTGAGAAGATCAAGCAATCTATCCAGAAAGAAAAAAAAAGAATGACTACATCAAAAGCAAAGAATATGATTACTCTACAGCTCGAAAAGTCCACTGACACTACGCCTAAAACAAATGCCAGTTCAGCTGGGGGAAATGGGATTCTCGAAAGCAGTGTGGGAGCACTACACAGCCAACCCAGGTGCCCCAGAACCAACCCCGGGTGCACCCTCCCTCTTCCAAAAGGTGGACAAACAGAACCTGCTGACTGAAGGCCTGCGGGGAACTCTCTAGAACTGCTGTGAGATGACCAATTCCAAAGAAACTCCTACGGGCATCGAAGTCCCATGGAACAGGGCAGTTTGCATACCTCAGGTTCATCCATGTTATTATTTCTGTCATGTACTAGTACTAACCTGAGTAGCACATGACACATTTTACAGAGGAAGCTAGTATCTTGAGGCTTGGGGGTTTACAGAGACCAGACTAATAATGCTTTTACCTTCTTTAGAAAACAATCAAAACTAGGTTTGTCTCTCTCAAAGTTTCCTCAGATCCCAATAAAAAAACAAATTTTTGGATAACTAGGATTATCCACACAGTAGAGTACATACGAGAACTACTACCCAGCCACTGAAGTCAACTTTAGCTCTAGACGAAAGTTTTTCGTCTCCTGAGCTTTCAAACAGGAAAATTATATCATGGCTGACAGTAATTTAATTGCATTGTTGCTATGACAACATGCTGCTCTCTTTCTTTTTAGTTTGTCAGTCGCTTCCCAAAGGATCTAACATGCTATTCTCCATGTTTCCTTTTGTTTGAAACAAACATTGCCAGCAATATGGTTTTCTTAGAAAAATGGTTAAGAAAACAGGGTTACGGGGTTCAGTTCCCTTGGATCATTTGCCTGTTTTTGTCTCTCCCCCGCCCATGCCCTCCAACTGTTAAGGCATCCCTATAAACCCGTATTCTATAGCCACAATATCAAGCTGCTGATCACTCCAGTTCCATTTTTAAAAAGTTTCCAGAAACCACAGCTGAGTTTTCCATTATTATACACAAACTACATAATTCGCCAAATCTTTTTTTCCCCCACTTTGGGGGTGGGGTGAGGGGTGGGGAGGGAATCTGGGATCATGTGAATCTACAGTTAGACAAACATTTTGAATCTGCTGCCAAAAAGGTTGCTACATCATATACTCTAATAGTTATTCACTAGTGACCTCCTTACAACTTTTCAGTTTGCTATTGGTTGCATTCCCACAACACACACACACACACACACTCTCTCTCTCTCTCTCTCTCTCTCTCTCTCTCTCTCTCTCTCTCCCTCTCTCCCTCTCTCTCTGTTTTTGTTTTTTTTTTTAATGACTTGTGTTTCGTTATCTTTTTTGCTTTTCAACGGAGAAAAGGTAGCAGGAAAGCTAGTTTCTTGCCCGCTCTCAGAATGTCTCCAAATAACTGACAAAACCATTACTGGCCCAGCTCTGAACAGATGTTCGAAGTGAACTTTAAAAAGTTGAGAAATCCTCCCCAAGCCTAACAGGGCAGCGAGTTGGGAGGGGGCTAAACAACCCCCCGCCCCTTTCTCCGACGCGCACGCGCGCACACGCACGCGCTCCACTAGCATCTACTGTACTTGTCAAAAACATTTCAAGGGGACCTGCGGGAGCGGCGATTGGCTGCGTCCTGTGTCAATCAGCGGCGTTGCCAAGCAACGGGGAAACTGCTCTTCTCCCTGCATACAGGGCAATTGGGAGCTCGCATACCTTCACTGCTGGTCAGATGTCATAAACCTTTTATTGGTTGCACCGCTGCGAACCTTAAGAACACATCAATAAAAGCCCGCCGTCCCCCAACTTCTCCAGGACCCAAGGAGGGTTTCAAAGAGGGCCGGGGTGAGGAGGAGTCGGGCCTCAGGGGTCTCGGGAGACGCTCACTGCCAGTGCCAAGCCTGCACAGTTTGTGGGGGAGGGTATCTTTGTTAGGAGCCTGTTTCTCATCTTGGGGTGTCCCCTGGATCAGCACCCTCTCCCCCACACCCGGAACGGCGGGGATCCTGTCCTCTGTGGACAATACCAACTCTTTTCCTTTTGGGCGTCTTTTTGGAAACCGAGGCAGCGAGAAAGAGCCCACACGTCGGGGCAGGAAACTCTTTGGACCGGCAACTTCCCCGCTCGGGGGCTCCCGTCTCCCCACCCGGCCTGGCTCCCCCCCCCCCCCCCCCGCGCTCTCCCCCAGGAACTGCGGAGTCCCTCGCCCGCCGAGAGTGGTGCGGGCGCCTCCAGGACCGCCTTGGACGAGCGTCTCCACCCCGAGTCACCCAATCCCGCTTTGGCGCCGGCCCGAGCGCGGAGCTAACTCACCTGGCCGGAGCGGGGCGCGGGGGCTCGGGGGCGCCGCTGCCCTTTAGCGGGAGCCGACAAACTTTCGCGGGCGCCCAGCGGGCATCGCTTGGTGGCCCGGCTAAGGACGCGCGGGCGCGGCGCGGCGAGCCCGGGGCAGCGGGCGGCGGGGGGCGGCCGCGGGTGCGGGCGGCAGGGGCGCGGGGGTCGCGGCGCGGCATGGGACCTGCGGCGTCCAGCCGGCGCGCAGCGCGTCCTCCCGCCGGCCCCGCCGCTCTCTCCGCCCCGTCCCGCCTCCCGCTCGCCTCCGCCGCGGCGCGTCGGGCCGGGGCGCGTCGAGCGGCGAGAAATTGTTTCCACTGCAAACAAAAAAAGGCGACACATGACCAGGCAGGAGGAGGGGAAGCGCGGGGAGGGAGGGGAGCGAAGGGGAGGGACGGAGCGCAGGGGGCGGAGGGAGCGGGAGAGAGGGAAAACGTGGGCCGGGCCGCGGGCGGCCTGGGGCGCAGGGTGCGGACCCGCCGGGACCAGCTCTGCCTGCTCCCCCCGCACAGCGATCGGCCCCTTGCCTAGGCGCTCCCAGGTCGCAGCCGGGAACGCGGCCGGGCTGGGCCGCATGGATTCGTCTCCCGCGGCACCGCGGGGCATGGGTGGCCGGCTCAGGGTTCCACGACCTGGGGCAGCCCCGGCCGTGGGCGGCGTGGCTGGTGGGGCCAGAGGCGCACGGCCTGTCTCTACCCCGGGCTCAGGCCACGCGGGCGGGCCGGCTTTGCGCCGCTGGCTACGTGTCTCCGGAACGCTACTACCCCATCCGCATACCTTACATGGCTCGAAAGTAAAAATAAAAAGAATTACGATGCGGGCGAGGCTGGCAAGGGGGAGAAGAGATTCCACTTCTCCCCAACTAAGGCGTCCTGGCGGGACTCCCAGGGCCTTCCCCAGAGCTCCCCCAGCGCCCACCTCGTGCCCCGAGAAAAAAGGCACAAAGGCACCGCAGTCTCAGGCCCAGGTGGCCGCTCCCCTGGTCGAGTGCAGACGCCTGTCTGCCAAAGGAGGGAGGGTGGCCATTACGGATTACAGCGCAAGGGCCCCATCCCCAAGGCCGCGCTAGTAGAGCCTCTCCAGTGGGTTGTGCTCAACGCCAGACCCACTTCTAAACCTCCAGCAAAAAGCTTCCTCTCCTTCATATTTTGAGCTCTCAAGAGCCCAACAATTCACAGGGGCACCCAGCAAATAGCTCAGCAACCACTCCAAGTCTTTAGGTTCCTCCCTAAAGCATGGCCACCGGCTGCTAAAGTCACACCTAGTAGCAGCCTTGGAGAGGAGAGTCCTACAGGACACCCTGCTGGTGACATAAATAAAAATATGTTTGCACAACTCTCCCACGCAGCCAGATCAGCAGGTTGCAACACATAAGAGAAGTCCAGGTCACTCCTGCCACCCTGACCTGAACCCACTGGAGGGAGCGATCTGAAAACTGCAGAACCACCAGTAAGAAGGCCCCAGTGACCTCCCTCAGAAACCTCTCCAGCTTGCAGTGCTTTATAACCTAGCCAAAGGGGGAGATAAGTCCCACAGGGTGTCGGAAGGTTTTTATTGTCCTTTTCTTATTTCAAAAAAGAAAGAACCCCCAGTCAATCTAAGAGTCATTCCCCTTAAGATGGTGGGTGGCAAGTCTTCAGCCAGGACTCTCACCACAGGCCTCCTTGCTTACCAGTGCCATGGCACATCTCAACCACAAGATGATTCAGAGGTGGAGGCCGAAGGGCAGCCAGAGTTCATCAGCCCCAGCCCGTTCATTACTGAGCACTGGATGTGACCTACCCTGAGCCACGAAGCAAAGGTATGAGGTCAGAGAAACAAACTAGATCATCTCTGAAGTCAGAACTGGTAACAAAGCCAGGACAGGAGCTCAGCCTCGTGCAGGTCCCACCCCTCATCAGCATATCAGTGGAGAGCTGAATCTCCCATCAAAGGAGCCAAGGGGAGAGACCTTTGTCCTCACACCTTACAGGCCAGGACAGGCCCCCCCAACCCCCAGCCACACTCACACCATAGCTAGAAACCTCTTTGCATTAAGTAGAGGTGGCATGTTATTTCCACCCCAGCACGTTCCTTCTTTCTCAGCGTTCAAACTGAGAGGCTGTGATCTGAAGGTTACTGCACGTGTCATTCTTTCCGTGCAAGCTCTTAGCCTCCAGTGACTGAACCAGCCATCCCAGGTGAACAAAAACTTAAAAGATGAGCAAGCCTTGGGCCAGGAGAAGCCATAAGCACAGGGTGGAGTGTGGTGAGGTAAGCTGCCTTTTATTAGCTCACCTTCTTCTTCTGGGTGGTGTTTGTTTTTTGTTTTTGGTTTGTTTCTCCCATTCTCAAGCATATTTAAGTTCTCTCTCTGCTATTACAAATGTGGCCTGAAGTGTGGACCAGCCAGGCCTGATTTGGAGGGCAGAGTACACATGTCTGCCTGCCTGCCGGTCTTTCTTAAATGGGGGATCAGCCCTTTACTGAAAGCCAAAGGCAGGCGTAGTATGACTTTTTTACCTTGTAACTCCATAGAATCCTGGCTCGGGGACATGCTCCCTGACAAAAGGGTGCAGGGGCCAAATTCATTTAGGAACAACCTCCTTAATTCCCCACTTGAACTTTCAAAAAGTACCCTTGTGCCTTAGACCCTTAGAAACCTCAAAGAAACAAGTGGGACTGTTTAAAAACACCCTTGACAGAATTATATGTGTGCCCCAGAACTCGTTGTGGGCAACACTTATTTCCTGACTGAGGACTGGATGGGACCATTCTGCAGCCCCATCTGGGAATGGGATGAAGAGTGAGCACCCAGACTCCAGCCCGGAGAGGAATTCCTCTCGCCCTCATGTTGTGTGCCTTCTTTTCCAACATGCTTCTCTGCCCTGGAACATTAAAGCCCCTCCCCCATCGCTGATTATGTGGCCAATATGATTATTTATGGAATGGTTCAGTGTAAAGCCCGGTGATCCTGCTCCAGGCAGTAGCAACTGAATAGATGAGCAGTGAGAGCACTTGCTGCTGGTGGGAAGGCCTGAGGGACTTTCAAATATGAGGAGGAATCTGAGGCAGGCCTGGGAAGACAGGTATGTAAGAGGAGACTTGGGTCAGCCCAGGGCAAGCAGCACAGCTGGGCTGCGCAGGACTGAAAAGTCATCATCAGGTAATTTTTGTCTCCATCTCTCTCTTTCCATAGTATCTTTACTACTTCCCTCTACGGAGCTGCTCCACACTCCTCCCTGCAGGCTGGCTTCCTCTGCTCGCTTACCAAGTCCTGAGGACCTTCTGACTTTAGAATCCACCACCTTCAGACTGCCTCAGTCTTCCACAAGAGCTCAAATTCTCAGAGAAATCATCTGATTGGCTTAGCCTGAGTCAGGTGACTAATCCCTTCCGCCCACCCCCTCCAAACAGCAGAGGCAGGGGGCATGGTGGAACCATCTGGTACAACAGGACTAGGGAGGGGAGGGAGATGACTTTGGAAAGAGGATATCTAGCTCTTAATTGTTCCAAACACTAGAAAAAATTATGTGACATGATAAAGGAGTTAGCTAAGCTATGATGGCAATCATATTGCAATATAAACATACCAAATCAATAGGCTATGCACCTTAAACTTACACAGTGTCCTGTGTCAAGTATATGTCAATTTGATGGAGGGGGCTGGGAAAGAAAATGGAAGGGACCATGGGCCTGGGATGAATTTTGGAGGAGGAAAGGAGAAAACAAAGACCCAAAACAGGCAGAACCACTCAGAAAGCACTGCAGAACCCATACAAAAGGGAATAAAGATTATTTATTTTTAACATATTTTTTTAATTCGAGAAAATGCTAAAATATTAAAACAGTGGTTCCCTCTAAGTGGTAGAATTGTGGGGTAAGATGTTTGCCTGCTTCGTTCATCCTTGTCTTGTTTCCAACTTTTCTACCATGAGCACCCATTACATTTATAATGTTTTAATAAAGAAAGGAGGGTGCATTCGAGAGCAGAGATTCTCAAACTTGAGTGTGCATCAGAATTACCTGTAGGGCAATTAAAACACAGCTTTGCTGGTCCCCAACCCCAGCGTTTCTGATTCAGTAAGTCTGGGCTGGGCCCTGAGAATTCACATCCCTAACAAGCTCCCAGAAGATGGCTGCCTCTGCTGGTCCAGCGACTATACCAGTGATGGCGAATCTATGACACACGTGTCAGAGGTGACACGTGAACTCATTTTTTTGGTTGATTTTTCTTTGTTAAATGGCATTTAAATATATAAAGTAAATATCAAAAATATAAGTCTTTGTTTTACTATGGTTGCAAATATCAAAAAATTTCTATATGTGACACGGCACCAGAGTTAAGTTAGGGTTTTTCAAAATGCTGACACGCCGAGCTCAAAAGGTTCGCCATCACTGGCCTATACTCTGAGACCCAATGAATTAGAAACTAGCCAGGGAGACTGGAAAAAATGAATGCACAAGAACATTCAAAGGAAGAACCAAGAGGATCTGTCCAATGACTGAACATGAGAAGAAAGGGAGGGAGAGATGATGGTCAAAGATAACGCCATCATGGGCTGACGAAGAGTCTCTGAGATAACATGAGAATGCACTTTGTGATGATTAAAAAGCTCCTGACTTCCGTCTCTTCAGTGCAGGAGAGACCCAGCACCACAGCTGGGAGCCCCTCCGCCTCGTCTCGGCCAAGCGTCACTTGGAGTTTCTGGTCCTCCTCTCTCGGGGTTTTCCTCTCGTGCATTCTTGGTGTTTGCGTGACAGGTCCTGAAGGGTGGCGCCTGGGAAAAGGCTTATTAGATTTCTCCAGCAGGGAATAGAGCCAGGAAGTTTATTTGACGAGCGAAGGAGGGGTGTGTGGGAAGGGAAAGTACAGCTGAACCAGTGGAATGAAGTGCATGAGCTCAGGTGCCCAGCCAAACCTGCGCTTATCAAGTCGCCTGCCGGAGGCAAAAGGGAAATATAGAACCTGTCAACTCCTCTTTGAGCATAAACACAGTGCGAGCTGATGATCCAGAATCCAGATTAAGTCAATTCATTCAATCAACAAGTATTTATGAAGTATCTAGGTACTCCCTGCCCAGTTAGTGCGTGGAGGGGACGCGTGGCACTTGCCCTGAAGGATTGGGGAGACTCAGTGAGCATTTACGAAGCAACTACAAACACACACACAGAGCCTAACGCCAACGGCCAGAGACGGCGTAGCATAGTGGCTAGCATCAGGACCTGGACTAGGTTCGTATTCTCTGCCACTTACTAGCTGGGTAACATTAGTCAAGGTACTTAACTTCTTTCTAACTAGTTTCTTCATTTTAAAAAGGGGGCAAGGGAGGGAGATTAAGAGCCATACCCATTTCATAGGGTTGTGATGAAGTTTAAATAATATTGGTAAAATACATACCACAATGCCCTGGCACTCAGCACTATTTTTGTTAAATAAGTAAATCAAAGGAAAAATTATTGACATATTTGGCTGCACAACAATTTAAAATTTGTCTGTAGAACCAGCAGTCCTAAGCCAGGTTAACCAAAAGTGAGGAAAGAGTTGCCATACCTAGGAAAAGGATGAATATTTTAAATTTATAACCTTTACAGCTCAACCGAGGGGAAAAAAATGATCATCCTAACGATAAAAAGGCAAATCCACAAAAGGAGAAACAAAAATGGCAAGACACCCGTGAAAAGATGCTCAATTTAAGTAAAAACAAAAAGATGCAAATTGCAATTATGATCGCTCATTTCGTCTATCAGATTGGCACCGACTTAAAAAGAAGAACCAAACTTTGGTGTGGGTTGTCGGGAGCTCTGGGACCCGGTACAACTCTTCAAAAGGATCCTCTGACAAAATGAATCAAAACGTAAGTGAGCATAGTAGCCATTGACACTACACTTCCAACTTCTAGGAATTCATTCCAGTTAACTTCCCCACCAGACTGCCTGCCCCCACGAGGCAGCAAGCTCCACAAAAGCAGGACACACGCCTGTTCTATTCAGCAATGCACACAGCGCTTACCCCAGAGCCTGTGCTCAACATGTGCTGAATGAATGCACTGAAAGGCGCAACAATGTATTTAGGAGGCTGTTGGCTGGGACATTGTTTAAAAGGGTGAAAACCTGGAAATCGCAGAAATAAGAGGCTAGAGGCATATTATTACATGGCCACCGTGCCCTAGCGTCCCGTGTCCCCTTCTGTCGCATTTTCCAGCCGTTTTAAGTGACGCTTTCCCTTTCCTGAATCACTTTCATATTCTCAAAGACTGTGCGTGTGACACAATTTGCAAACATTTCACAAAGTAAGAGTT